ACTTGCATGGCAATGTAAATGGTATGATTTTGAAAGCTGAATCAATGGCTCAACTAACACTTTTAAAGATTGTGTCACTGTGTGTAAAGTAATTGTCACCAAAGTCATGTGATATGGAAACAATCTCTCTCTTTCTCTCTCAAAAAAAATTGAACATGACAAAATTTGGACCAAGTACAGCAAAACAAATAACGCCCAAGGGAAAATGAAATAAAAAGTCGCCCTCACAAACAGAACTTAACCACAAGCCAACCAATAGAATCAAGAAGATGAGAAAAACCACATCAAGTGACTAGAGTTTGGGAAAGTAACTTTTAAAAAACCACAACTCCCAGCATTTCCTAGTTATCTTGGTCTCTGCCTCTACTGTTGTGGAGATTCTGAGATTTACAGTCCGAAAGTACCTTTTCTGAGCTCTGTAGCTAATAAATGTTAACAGCTTTGTAGCAAGCAAAGATCTGAGTAACGTCACACCATTTCCTGATCCTATTTACAGATTCTCACTTCCTTTCTCCCATGAGAATGCTGAGTGCTTGGAATAGCAATGCAGTATTTAGCAGTTCTGTCTTCACTTTGGTCTTTTAAAATTTGTCTTCAGCTCCCAAAGCACAGCTATTCCATATTTGACTATCAGTATTTTCCCAAGGTTTTGTCATTAGTCTTCAATTTTGCTTTTTAAAAAAGTGATTGACTATAAAATATATAGTTATCATAATCTACAACTTGGCTGGAAATGACTCAGAGTTACAAAAACTTTAGAGCCCCTCAGCTGAGATATTCATGGAGTTGCAATCCACAAAAAAGTAACTTTTTCAAGATGTGTCCCAGATGCTGAATGTTTATTGTATTATGCTGGTTCTATCTGAACAACTTATAAACTGGAAACCTCTTCACTTTCTTTCTAGAGCAACTTGTAAGGATTTGTGTGTCATTTTCTCCCTACTAATGTCATTTATTTATTTATTTATTTTGTCTTGTATACCGCTACTCCCAATTTGGCTCGGAGCGGTTTACAGCAGTAGATTAAAACAATACAACCAACTTTAAAATACATTAAAAGCGAGAACAGACATAGTCCCGAGATATTCACCCATCGAAAGCTTGTCGGAAAAGAAAGGTCTTACAGACTTTCTGAAAAACAAGTAGCTCTCGGATGGTTCGGGTTTCAACTGGCAAGGCATTCCATAAATAAGGGGCCACAATCGAGAAGGCTCTCTGCCTAGTAGAGGACAGATGGTAAGTCCGGATGTTGAGGACTTCAAGCAAATTTTGGTCTTCGGACCGAAGTAATCTCTGGGGTTGGTAGGGGGATAAGCGGGCCCTTAAGCAATGATACCTGGAAATAAAAATCTAATTTTCCTTTCACAAATTGAAGTGAGTTCACGGTAAGAGAAATAGACTTTCCCACCCAGATCTCATACTGTAAATTGGGAAGACCCATTCACAACTTTTGGAATACCCTTGGGAATAGTGTGGGAGATAGTGCAGAGTGTCTCCAAAAACAGTAGTTCAGAAGACATTCCAAGAATGGAGGAGTAACTTAGGAACTAAATAAAGTCTTGGAGTGTTGACACTAGTTTTAAATAAACTCAGCTGGTGAATGGCATCAAGATTGTGGCTGAAATGCAAAGCTTGAATGGACAAATAGTGTAGTTACTCACAGCATAACAAATTAACATCATCCATGGAGGTGAGAAATACAATCATACCTTAATTATCAAAGCTTCTAATAATGAGTCTCCATTTAAAAAATTTTTTTGTACAAACAGTCCCCAAGTTATGAACATGATAGGTTCTGTAGATTTGTTCTTCAGTTGAATTTGTATGTAAGTCAGAACAGGTACATTTTCAAATTGCAACTCCAACCGTGTGTGTGTGTGTGTGTGTGTACACATACATACATATATAGCTTTGGATATCATAGGGAAGAGTTAACACCTCTATGGTATTTGTTTTGATGTCTGTGCTCCTGTTCAGAAGATTATACCTCACTTTCTGTCCCTGTGACAATTGAATTTGAAAGATTGGCTTGTTGTGGAAACAAGATTTGATTATAAAGCTTCAGTGGAGGCACCTTTTCCTCATGACAACTCTTTCAGGAGTGAATTTCCCTTCTTAGAGTCAGATTTCTCTCACTTCCTGTTGTCTCACCCCATGCTTAACTATGAGGCTTGAGCTTCACTGCCCTATATCCCAGGATCTGATCTCAGATCATCTGCTTTGAACTGGATTATATGAGTCTACACTGTCAGATAATGTGGGATAAAAAGATAATATGGGATCAGATCCTGGAATATAGGGCAGAGTAGATCCAGTCTCAGTCGTTTGCAAGTCAGATGTTTATAACTCGGGGACTGCCTGTATACTCCAAGCCCTGTTTCACATTTCTCCTCTGCCAAGCTGCTAGGTTTTATTAGCATCATTGCCAGTGGAAACGTAGTTAAGGAGAGCTGGAGAAAGACAGACTTTTGGTGTTGAGTTGCAGAAGTGTGTCACAGTAAACAATGCAATAAAGCTTAAGCAAAGAAAGTGTAGCCAATCCTATTGTGTGCCAGTACGTGTCGCTGTATAACAAATTAGGCAGATAGCAGCTGCCCACAGAGTCGCTTACTTCAGCAAGTATAAATAGCAATAGAGAGAGAAAATGGGATAGCTGATAGGCCTGCCTAGTTAGCAATCCCCTTTGTGCTAAAATTAATAGATTTATAAATCTGGACATCAGAATGGAAATCATAAAAAAGGAGCAGAGGATAGTGAAAGGGGAAAAATCACGAGATGCATTTTGGAAGAAGCCTTCTGGTGATCTCTGGAAAATTCAACATATTTTGCTCACCTGACCAGGTTGTTTCAGTTAACTGTTCATATTGAATAATAATAATTATTATTTTACTGACACAAAAATACAGTATTGTTATTATTATTATTATTATTATTATTATTATTATTATTATTATATCTCCATCTGGTGTGTATGTTTATGTGTGGGTGTATGCTTAGGGATGTATCTATTTGATTAACTTTGGTATACTAGTACTAGTATATTTTTAGTTGAATTGATCACATTTTATCATATCAATCCATGAGTGGATTATCAAAAAGTAATATTATGAAGCAAAGAATAAGAGGAGTTGTTTTTATAAAAGTGTAACATGTAGTGGTAACACAGTACTATAAAAAGCAATAAGAAGAAATTACCTTTAAAAAGTAAGTTTCTAAGATAGTCCAAAATGGGAAACTAGAATTGAGTTTTTGCATACTTGTGGATATGAATAATATTTAAAAACCAAAGAGACAATTAAGTAAATCAATGGAAATTGAGCATGATCATCAGTCATAGATAGCAGAGTGCAGATGGAAGATTTCACACATTTGGCAAAATTGACTCTAATCCACTTAATATTTTAAATGCTACACACAGAACATTGTTTGTTTGACAACCCAGTCCAGATCGCATCAAACAGTAGTTGTTTTTTATTTGAAACTAGCTTGGGGACCCAGCGGTGCCCAGGTTATTTGAGAAAGGCATTGTTTGTCTGTGCTCCAAGTTTAGTCTAGATCCAATGTCGTCTGGTTCAGTGGTGTGTGTGAACTACAATTCCCATAAGCAAGTCCCATGGTCCATCCTCCTCCAAATCACACCAGGATGTAGAGTGGGTCATGGGGGCTCTGTGTGCTACGTTTGGTCTTGATCAGTCATTGGTGTGGGTCACAGTGGGCTCTGGAAGTGAGTGAAGATATTGAAGATCCCATCATACATGGTCTGTCGTCCCCAAACCACACCAAGCCAAAGAGCTGTCATTGTCTGTAGACACCTTCAAGGTCATGTGGCCAGCGTGACAGCATGGAATGCTGCTATCTTCTTGCAGAAGCAGTATCTATTGGTCTACTCACACTTGTATGTTTTCGAACTGCTAGGTTGACAGAAGTTGGGCCTAACAGCAGGAGCTCATCTACTTCCCAGATTCACACCATCAACCTTTTGGTCAGCAAGTTCAGCAGCTTAGTGGTTTAACCTGTTGCACCACCAGGAGGCCCAAGTAGGGAAGACCAATTGATTCAGTAGAATTTGCATACATGTTGACTCAGTGGGTCAACTCTGGTTTGAACTTTAAACTATATTTAGGCCAATGTATTTAATGGTGTTAAAACTGTAAATTGGTTTATGTTTTTTCCATTTCCCCCAAATTTTCAACCCCCTGCTGCAAAGCCTGAGAAAAGTCCCACCCTTTCCCCAAGACTTCAGCATTTCTGGAAACCTCATATTTCCAATTGCGTAGCAAACAAAAGTGAAAATTGAGAAATGGTTGATAATAGAGCTGTGATACTTTTTTCACTTAAAAATAAAGAAAAATTCTATCCTAGTTTATAGAGAAAGCATGTGATTTTGTATAGATACTTTTTAAAGTGTTCCATAGGGCGTGTCATCAATTCTCAACTCTATATTCACATAGCAACCTATTGTGCCTCCTGAGAACTTTCTACTAACTGCAGCTTTGTTTCCATGACAAGCATTTGAAACAAAGTTTTCTTTATGCAATTCTTTCACATTGTGGTGAAGTTTTCTTTCTGCCTAAAAAACAAACAAACACTGCACAAAATGTGCTTCTGACATAGGACAATAGGGTAGGATTCACAGAGATCTTCCTATTGACTGGTAAATGTACCTAAAGAATATATAGTAAGAAATAGTTCACTCAAAGATGTATATTGCTAAGAAGTCTGAGTGCTTCATATTGCAGTCCTCATGGTTGCTTGAAATTTGCTTTTATATCTGATCAGTATTGAAGTGAAGATGGGAAAAACTGAAATGAAAGGAATGAAGTTCCAGCAGTGGTGTCTTGAAACCTCTGACATTTACTTAGGAACAGCTAGTTCAGTGCTTTCCTCAACCAACTGATATTTTGATTTTCAAAAGAAGAACAGCTATCTCCTATTAAATAAAAGAGTTGCTTCATCCTCTGATACTCGATCAAAAAGGGAATCTTCTTCTTTTCTCTCAGTAGATCTTGCTATGAAGAAAGAAAACAGAGATGACTGATGTGGAGCCTGTGGTCACAGATTTTGCCGCCTCGGGAAGGGCTGGCCGCCGAAACGCCTTGCCAGACATTCTTGGTTCTTCTGCTGGGGCAGGAACGTCAGACTTACCGCACAAGTTAGCTGAGCTCTCCATGTCAGAAGGTAATGCCTTCCCATTAGTAAGAATCAGAAGCTACCTAATAATCATTTTACTCTCTGGCAGCATTGGGAAAAGCTCTTTCATACATACCACATAGATAAATGAGAGCTCACTTGGTTTAGTGCAGGCATGGGCAAACTTGGGCTCTCCGGGTGTTTTGGACTTCAACTCTCACAATTACCAACAACCAGTAATCTGTTAGGATTGTGGGAGTTGAAGTCCAAAACACTTTGAGGACCCAAATTTGCCCATGTCTGATTTAGTGATTTGAGTGCTGGATTATAACTCTGAGGGAGCAGGGTTAAAATTCTCCTTTCAGTCATGAAACCCATTGGGTGACTTTGGGCAAGTTACATTCTCTCAGCCTCAGTAGGAGGCAATGACAAACCATCTTTGAATATATCTTGCCATGAAAAACCTATAGTAGAATTATCATAACTCAGTCAACTAACAATAATTTCCAAATGGGTGTGCCAACTCTGTAGGATGAAAGAGACAGAACAATGACCCAGTTGGCAACATTAAAAAAGGAAAACGAACACACTATGTTTCATGCAGTATGTACACACTTGAAGGCACATAGTTATATTGTGCCTTCAAGTTGCTTCCAACATTTCATGAACCTAAGGGAAACATTCTCTACTACCCATCTGCTGGATAGCATAGGACTCTCTTCCCCTTCTAGCCTTTTTCTCTGCCCCAAAAACCTGCTCTAAAGGATTCCCCAGCTCTCTGTAGCAAGTTTGGAGAGCGCAGAGAAAACTATAAAGTCATTCTGTCAGTGCAACCTTGGTATTGGATCCATGGGTATGTGTGTGTTGATTTGTATGTTTTCAGTGAAATTAATATACAGCCCCAATCAGAACTTACTGTGTAATGTCAGCAATTCTCTGAACACTGTGTAGTCCCTTATAAACACAACATGCAGTGTTCCTTTTATCTAAACTCCTAATACCAAGACTGTTTTGACTATCTCATTCAACATGAATCTAATATGTTGACTCTCTTATACACCCTTCTTTAGCTGAAGGAGCTGAAGGCGGAGAAGCATCATCTTCTGGCACTACAATGGAAAATCAGGAAACAGAAGGAAAGAGCATGGATTCTTAATACCTATGAAATCCTTGGTTTGCACTGATCGTCAACAGATGGCACTTCCAGTCTGTGCAAGATACTGAAATATACCATACGTGTAGCTGGGTGACATGAATAAGGAGCTATTCAAAGACTTCAGCAGCATGACCTAGTTCATCAGACAAGTTTTTCTGTGTCTAAATCTGCAGAATGCATGTAAAGTTCTAGCACTGTTTTCTGTCCTGTAGTAAAATCAGCTCCACCATGTCCTGTTGGATAAGGTAAATAATCAGATACAACAAGAACGTTGCTGCTTGGTCAGTCTCTTGGGACCTTTTCAGCATATAAATACAATTTTTTTTGAACAGGTTACATAAATATTATTAAGCTCTTATCCAGAGTTGGCACAATATATAGCAACACGATGTATGTTTGGTTCAACAAGCTGCAGTCACTTTGCTCAGCTAAGGCCACTTAGATGTGTATATATGTGGAAATAAAAGAGAAGTGAGCACAATGCCCTGAAAAAAACTGTATATTTCATAATAGAGAAAAGCTTACAAAATAACAGGACAGTGATGCTGAAGGGGTGAAAAATAGCCTTGGGATTCAACACATATGTTTAGAGCAGTACTATCTGTACTATTAGGTAAAGTGAGGCAGTTGCCTGGAAGATTATGGGTGCTGAGGCCAAAGTTGTGCCCTGCACTCCTTGCAGTAGCTTAGCGCCCTCATGTGCAGTAGACAATGCCATTTCATCACAATTACTGAAATTCCTCTACCAGTTCAATTAGGATTTATTATTTTTAAATAATACAGATAGTTATCTTGTCCATCTAGCCTGTACTGTCTAGTTTTCAGAGTCAGTGACACATATCTTTAGCAGACATGCTACAGGTATACCAGTAGAGCAGTCTGGTAGGTGTCCACAATCCCCATCAACAGGTTGATGGGAATCAGCAACAGGTTGATGGGAATCAATCCTTTTTTCTAGCAAGAGAATTAAAGACTAAATGTCAAGATGCTATAGACATCTGACTTCCCCATACCAACTGTACTTGTATTGTGCTGTTGTTTGGAGAAACCCTTCTTCAATAATTTTGAAGTTTTATTTTCTCATCTCTACTTAATGCACATCAAAGTTGAAGCTATACAAAGCCCAGAATATTTTTAACATTGCAGGATGCTTTGATCTTTAAAAGCAATTGAATGTCACCTGTCTATAACCTCAAGAACCCCTTTTTGAGGTCTGAATTCTATCCAAAGATGCACTGTGTACTGAGAAAAATGAAAACTGTCAGGAATCATTGAGAGCACCTTGGATTTTGAAATCGTTTTGTGAGTGTATACTATACTCCCCTTTCTTGAATCTGCCTCTGTCAGTGAGCTTTGCACTCTACTTAAACAGAAGTTTCTAAAATAAACTCATGGCATTTGTTAATGACTTAAACCATTACATTATTTTAGCAAATGCAGTGAAAATTCTCATTATCTCATTCAGTCTTTGGTATCTTTCATCATTACTGTCTTTATCAAGACCTGTGACACAAGCTTTTCATTGAAGCTGACGGTGGATTTATTTTCTCTTAATTGATTTTATTAAAATCATTGTTGTGAATGCATTTTTCTTAATATATTTTCCCATATAAAATAATTGGTCCATGTTTTCTAATAAAAGTTGTATTGGTTAAAATAAGAGAATCTATGTATTCTTTGTGCAGCACTTCGATGGTTCAGCCATTGTTTCAGTTTTTGCATCAAGAACAAGGAACTGAATCTAGATTACAGAAAATTTTGAGTCATTACTGCTTTTCACAAATGTAATTGTGTCTACTCAGCTCTAGATTTTTAAACATGGTTTTCTGTGGGTGACCTAATGGTGACTACTGGATGGCATATGTTGCGTATCAGAAATCAGAACTGATGTGGTATATCCAATTTTCTGAATCAGCACCCCAAATAACCAAACCGAATCTGAAGTTGACCAAAAACCAATTCATATCCCCTTTGGTATTAATGTTGGAGAGTAGTCCTTAGTCAAACTGGTCAAAAAAAAAAAAAGGTTGGGAACCACTTCTTTATACAGAATCACATCCCTGACACATGTGTTCTAATATCCTGTTGGTTAGTCCCAACTACAGTAGACCCATTCAATCAGTTGTTGAATGCTGAGTCAACAAATTATATTGAATCAGCCTACCCAATTGGTTCAATATATCTACTTTAGTTAAGACCAATAGAATATAAACCATAGTATGGACATATCTGATGCTGTTGTGTGCCTTCAAGTCATTTCCAACTTGTGACCCTAAAGAGAACCTGTCATAGTATTGGTAGAATTTGTTCAGAGGAGGGTTTTGCATTCGCCTTCTGCAACATACCCTGCCTTCATCCTCTACATTGGCCTTTACTTTCAGAGATGGGCAAGGTATGTCCTATGGGCTGTATGTAGCCCTTGGGATTTTAAGTGTGGACTACAGCATCCTCCAGAATCCCTCAAGAATCCCAGATCTCTACCAAATCTTTTTAAAAACAATTTGTCTGATTTGGTGACAAAGTTTTCCCCCCAAACTACCTTAAAACACATCAGTTTGCTCCGCTAAGCCTTCCTGGCCCTCAAACCAGACACAAAAAGGGAGGAAACCAAAAATTGACCAATATGACAGCTGGAAGTGACATCACATTACTCCAACTGTACTGAAATGTATTGCTGCGGCTCATAGGTAAGTGCTGGAAGGAAAAATGGTTGTTGCTTGTTTGTAGTTACTCGATCATTACCAGACACATACTATCCTAAAAGAGGTATGGGCATCACCCATAACAAGTACATACCTTAAGTAGTATGCTATGTTATAATGTGACTTATGAGAGCCAATCACCAAATCAACATTTGATTTCAGGAATATTATAATATTGGCTTGCAGCCCTGGTAGACATGGCCAACTTTGCAGTCAAACATTGCCTTGCGGCAAGGGCAGGGTTTTGCTCTGTCCCTCTTGAACATAGGTGATGTACCAGACTTCTAAGTATACTGCTACAGATATAACCATTGGAGTTAAAGAAAGCAAGCCCACCATGACTTGCTTCATTTTTGTCCAAAAGGTAAAGAAGATGATGGTCTGATCTTTTCTGAAATTCATTCAGCTCACATTTATTCAAGAAAAAAAATTCCAGATACATTCTGTGTAATTTAATCTGCTGCCCTACATGCCAGTTATCATTGTTACATATTTCCCAAGGCATATAGTTATATCGCATATAAGACTCTTAATATTGTTAAATATGAAAGTCATCATGGAAAGCTTTGTGCTTTGTTACTTTCTTTGTCCCATAGTTCATTAATGTCTGATTGAGCCAAGAAATGGGTAAATGTCTAACATAATACACTTGGCATTGCATGCTATGACCACTAGGTGGCAGTCTGCATCCATTTGAAGAAATTAAAACAGCTCTAACTGTTCATCTCTGGCACAGACTGATTCCTTCCAAGGTTTCTTCTCAGCTGAGATAAATAGGGTTCGTCCTAGCTGAGGAATTTTAATGAGCAGCTTTCTGCAGATTTTTGACAGCATGAAGATCTTTGTGGAGCTTGTTTTCAAAAGGTACCAAACCCACCTGAACAAATTTCACAGATATCGTGGAAAACAACATGCTGAGGATATGCATTATTTTGCTATAAAATGAAAATTTCCAAATCCAGTACCAAAGGGATTTGATACATTTTGATAGTTTTGATCTATACATAATATTCTATGTCACTTATATCTCATCTTTTCAGGGGTTTTTAAATTCTATATGTACCATATATATACCAATGTAGTTGAATTAACAACATAAAAGTAATTTGTTTATAAATTGGAATTCTCTGCACTTGGAAGAAGTTAGCAAAAATTAAATTAGCACATTGAGATATATGTGCTAAAACAAAAAGAGAATAATGCCCAGTCTTCTTTATCAGCTGCTTTGTTAAGAACGTTTAACAAACTGACCATTTTTGGCTCAACCAGCAGAATGGATCCCCTTTTCTCCATGTAGTTGATGCCCAATAAGGTCAATTGGGGCAAAGTTATAACTATAGCAATAGTGCTACAATTGTGACTAAGAAGTAATCGTGAAAATGGAATGTTTTGGATGGGTAAATCTAAGGCTGGATCTATACGGCCCCTTCTACACTGCCTTATATCCCAGGATTTGATCCTAGATTATCTACTCTGAACTGGATTATCGGAGTTCACACTGCCAGATAATCTGGGGTCACATCATAGGGTATAGGGCAGTATAGATCCAACCTAAGTAGCTGGTCCACTCAAATAACACAAACATCAGAAGTTCAAAGAAATACATCCTGCTAACATCTGTCCTGGATTATAAAATAATACCCCCAAAATATCAGCAGAAAGCAATGAGGGAATTGTGTAACAAGTGCTAATGCTACAGGACAGACAAGAGTTCTTTCTCCCACCCTGGACATTCCACAGATATATAAACCCCACTTGCCTTGTTTCCAACAAACCTCACGACCTCTGAGGATGCCTGCCATAGATGTGGGTGAAATGTCAGGAAAGAATGCTTCTGGAACATGGCCATACAGCCCGGAAAACTCACAGCAACCCAGCTGGATAGTTTTCTCTATTCTCAGTTTACTCACTCAGCAGTTATAACATCTGGGCACCACTTTCACTTCCATGGTTCCTTCCAATGGAATTGTGAAACATGTCTTTTTATGAGGTCGTTAGAGTTCATAAAAGAGCAGTAGTGCCTTATAAAACTACAAATCTCAGTATTCCACATGATGCAACCATAACAGTTAAAGTGGAATCAAAGCACTACACTTGTGCAGTGTCAAAGGGGCCCAGATCTGTCAGTGAAACAAACCCAAGGCATTTTAGTCTTCATTTTTCATAAAAATGAAAGATTTCTGTGAATTCCCCTGTCTGTAGAAGCACCTATACCTCACAGTTTTCTGGGTTTGTCTAATGAAATATTACTCTTTTATTTGACAATCTGTCACAAGAAATATGTAATGTACTTAAAAGAGAAAGCTTCTTGCAGTGCTCCAGGTGACCACAGCCCATGTTCCCAACAGAGTGGGAATGAAGATCCAAAAATAATTGGAGGAGAAAGAGTAAGCAGGATCACAGGGGGCCTCTCCACCTCCTGTTCTTGATGTACCCCCCATGACAAGGACAGTGTTGCAAATGTCCTTTCCCAGAGCCCTGTTCTGCAGTGCTTCGGAAACATTTCAATTGCAGTGTTGCCAGGCTAAAATGGCAGGGCTTTTTTTTTGGGGGGGGGGGCGGCATTGTCAGACGTAATAACAACTGACTCCCATAATTTTAGCTGCATCTGATGATCTTGGCCATAAAACCAAAACATTTCATTGTTTTCCTTTGGAATCCCCCCCCCCCCCACTGAAATGCAGTGGTGTTACTGGCCAGCAGAGATTCCCAGCTTGTCATTCATAGCCTACTGTTCTCCCACTGCTAACTCTCATGATATCATTGCTCTTGTTTCCGA